AAATTCTTTCATAATGAATTTTAACAGTGTTTAACAATGCAGCTGCTGGGCCTCATTGTTTTACTATGAATTTGAATTTTATCTACATAGTAGGTGTGTAAGTATCAAAACTCTTCATTTACTATCAGACTTTTGCCAGCACAAATTTCTTTACGTATAACTCCTGGTGTATCTAGATAAGAACGTAGCAAGACTTTCTCCAGGAGTAGTTGGGTATACATGGAATTTCTGACAATGATTTCCATTTTTATGTTCTACTATGCTATTTTATCATGTTTCTTTTAATTGTATCTCTTTTGTCTTTTTATCACTTTTGTCTTTATAAAATTCTGCTCATATTCAATAGATAAATAGTCTATTACATCCTATAAAAGATGACAGGCATCATTGTGAGGTAGGAAAAGCAACTTTAAAAGATATTTGTATATAGGAGTGTTCCCAGTTTACTTCAGTTGTAACATTTTCCCTTTGTTGTGGGTTTTCAGCTTTTTCTGTCTATTCATAAATATCTGCATTTCCCATGTGTGCCAGATAGATTTTAGCACCATTGCTTTCTACATGGGATTAGTCAGTGTGACACAGGCTAATGTATGAACTCTTAACCCAGTCAATACCATCTGCTAATTGATGTTTTTATTGCCTCTGATAGACTCTTCTCCCTAGACTGGAATTTCTGTCCCTTTGTCCATGTAGTAATGTGTAGTCCTTGTTACCTGAATTCTTAGCACTGCTTTCTGCCCCTTAGCTGACATTCTTAGAGCTCCCTCCAGGAAGAGTCATAGCATATTCCTCAGTTGTATTTAATCTTTTAGGGGTGAAGTGCTGAGTCAGGACCTCACCATGTAACCCAGCCTGTCTTGGAACTCAAGCCAGTCCAGCCTCCGCAGCAGCAACAAGAGAGCCGGCATTGCAGGTGGAAGTAACAATGCCTGGCTGCTTGCATCCTTTTCTTTAGCTTTAAGCAAATTTAGGTGACAGGTCGGAAAGAGCTTCCCAGTGGCTGCCAGCCAGGTTTCCCGAAGTCCTAGTACCTTTATTCTAGAGGACACGTTGGAATTTTATCTCCGCATTACTCAATTATGCAATCAATGACAAGAATGAATAATTCAAAGAATTGATCACATGCACGCCAGTGGCTTGTGTTTTTCTCCAGCCTGGTGATTCCTGCTGACCCACTTCCGTATAAAACACCACACTTTCTTGCTCATGCAGATGTTCGTGAAGCTAACAAAGAGTCCTGTCTGACTCTGTGCAGGGTGTGCTCTCCAGGCACAACTCCACTTCTTCTGTGGAACACAAAGCACTTCACAATTTTCTTTCATTAACCCCCCCCCATATCTTAGCTACAATGTATGACAACTTAAAAGCATTCTCATCTCACAGAAAACCAGGACAAGGAAAAAGTGCTGATTGTGATCAGACAGCAAGTTACTCCAAAGATCAACAGTGCAATATAATTCAGATTATTTCTGTGTAGGCCATTACCCCCTTCTTATCCCCTAGTATACTTCATTTGTGAAAGGCACTTGTAGCTGTTGGTGGAACTCCTCCCACATCAACTTCTCCTTTTGAGATGAGTCGATGCAGGCATACCTCTGTAGGTCCATCCAGAGGAGGAGTCAAAGGGAAGGGCTACCATGCCACCATCTGGGACACCCTTACATTCAGTGTTGTCTGCATAATCGGTAATATTGGTTAGCTATTTCCATTCAGGAAGTTAGTAAGCATTTTAATCATCTTAGAGCACTTATTTTTATAATTGCAGAATTATTAGTTGTTTTTAACTAGAGCAGCTTGCTTGCCCAGAAAATTAGAAAGTGTGCTTAACGAAGATTTGTTACCTTAGAGGGAAAATGCACATGGATATCTGACTTTTGTCAATGCTTTAGTGTTTTTAGCGACAAGCTGAGGAGAGATACATATAACTGTAGTGTCTTGTGACTAGTTGACAGGCTGTATTTCTAAGGGGTCACCTGTTCCTTTCTATAAAGGCAGAGACATAAAAGAGTGATACAAATAGTAATAAAAACAAAAACAGTTCACTGTTTCACAAGTTTACTGTATTTCAGATTCTTCTCCACATATAACTCATTGAATCCTCAGTATAGTTAATTAACATTATTGTTTTGTGATGGAGCCTCACTGGCTTTGAATTTATGATCTTATGACTTTAACCTTAGCAGTAGCGGGGATTACAGGTGAACTCAACTTCAGCTAACAGCATTAGCTTTGTTTCACAAATGAAACTGAGAATGACTATGATAGGAAACCCTCTTAGGACCTTGCAGCAGCTCATGGTAGAACCAGAAGTCCAAAGCAGTCTGTTTAATATTTGTGCCAATGTACTTCCACCCAGCCATCCAGCTGGCCAAGAGATCTCTCAACCCTGTTTTGTAAGTGAAACTGTTAAATTTGGACAACTAATGCTTGGTGGGTGAAACAACCACTCAGATCATAAGGGAGAAATTAAGAGACTTTTGCCCTAAAGGCTAAGTGCAAGGAAAAATGAAATAGTACTAAGTGGATACGCTTGGGGGATTAGTGCAAAAGACTTCTGTCTCTGTGTCATCTTTCCCGATTCTTCTATTTGTTTCAGTCCATTGAGATCTGACCAGCCCCCAGCTTAACCTTTGCTTCTTTGTCTTACTTAGAAGCCTCAAAGTGGGAAACATGGGAAAGAAGCAATATTGTCACAGTGGCCAGCTGGCAGAGGGACATTCCAGCCATATCATGCATTCCCTCCCCTCTTGAGCTTTTTATTTCAGTTGTTCTTTGGGAGGCACAAGTCAAAGCTCAGTTGCTTATGTGCACTGGGATGTGTGTGGGGTATTATGAAAACTGTAACACCCCAAATACTCAAACATAGCTAACTGGATCTGATGCTCATGGATTTTGAACAAGCCATAGCAATTGAGAAAAAAATTCTGACAGTGCCTGGGTCATAGGTTGTTGAGTAATAAAGTTGCAAGACTGAGAAAGAATTATCTCCTCTTTCTGTGGCTATGGGGAGGCAGTGTGCTAAAGGCTTCAGAACAGGCTCCCAACACAACTGCATTGTATTGGACATAGCTGAGCTAGGAACTTCCCTGTGACTCTGAAGCACCTAGGGAATAAAGTCAAGCATGTTACTTGGCATTTGAAGCATTCCATGGGCTGATCAATCCCGTCTGTCTAGTTTCGTCCCTCAGACACACTGAGCTGTCACTCAGAGGCTGCACACTTCCACTGCCCCATCACTCTCCTGGTACACATCCAGTGTTTGTGCTTTGATCAGGGTGAGAGCCTCTCAGTGTCACTCGCATATGCTTCATGTCCCGTGCTCTTAAATGAAACACTCTTCATTGCTGCTGCTAGACTGTGTGCTTCTTACAGCTCATTGGTTCTTTTTTCTTTTTTTATTACTTTAATTTTAAATAGTTTGCTTCACATGTCAATCCCAGTTCCCTCACCCTCCCCTCCTCCTGCACCCCCACCATCCCCCCTTCCCCAGCCTCCCATCCTATCCCCACTTCCTTCCACATAGGGGATATCCAGAATCTGTCACTTTGCTCAGGGCAGGGTCCAGACACTCCCCTAAGAGTCCAGGCTGAGAGAGCATCCCTCTTTGTGTTATGAAAACACGAAGTCCATTTGTATGCCAGGGATAAACACTGATATACTGCCCAGGGCCCCATAGGTTTCCCAGGCCTCCTAACTGACTCTTACACTCAGGGGGTCTGGATCAGTCCCATGCTGGCCTCCCAGCTGTCGGTCTGGAGTTCAAGAGCTCCCCCTTGTTCAGATCAGCTGTCTCTGCTGGTTTTGCCAGCCCATTCTTTGCCAATTTGCTCATCACTCCTCTCTCTCTGTCACTGGGTTCCATGGGTTTAGTTCAGTGTTTAACTGTGGGTGTTTGTCTCTGCTTCCATCAGTCGCTGGATGAAGGTTTTAGGATGGCATATAGTGTAGATGTCAAGTTCATTATCAGGAATGGGCATTTAAGGTGGTTTCTCCACTATTGCTTAGCTTGCCAGTTGGTGTCATTCCTTTAGATCACTAGAAGTCTCACTGGTGCCAGATCTGTCTTCTAACTTATGACCCTCTTTTATGGTATTTCTCATCCTGTTCTTCCCCTATCCTACCCCCCACTCAACCTTCCTGCTCCCCCATGACCTTCTCTCTCTTCCTCTTCTCCCCCTCTTTTCTTCCCCGCTCCCACTCCCCCCACCCCTCGCCGTGTTCCCAATCTGTTCAGGAGATCTTGCCTCATTCCTCTTCTCTGGGGTACCATGCATATCTCTCTTAGGTTCTTTCCTGTTTCCCAGACTCTCTGTCAGTGGAAGTGCAGACTGGCACTATCCTGATCTATGTCTAAAATCCATATATGAGTGAATACATACCATGTTTGTCATTTTGTGACTATCTGTGTGAAAGAAAACTAGAAAGATCACAGTTTGGGGAATGCGCAGCTGGAGTTAGTTGGTGCTTGCAACCAACCAAAGAAGGTTTGTACTGAGTAGTTTAGCAAAGGGCATCTTCCACAGAGTGAGTTTTATAGCTATGCATAAACTAAAAATCAACCAAAAAGGGCTCCCCAGAATCCACGTGGTACTCTCTGATATATGGGACATTCATTTGAGACCTTTGATTGCATCTTCAGAAACTTAAACCAAAAACACTCAATTTCACTTTGGGTTCCAAATTTTCAGTGACAAATATGTGTAGTGTTTCTAAGAGAAGGGCTGTTACATATTTTTGTAGATAAGTGTGGCTATATCTATGCAAAAGTTCAATTAAATACTGTCTAAGTGTGACCAAATTTTTGGCATTGTGATGTGACATTGTCATCTACAAATTTACTCTGGGGAACATCACAATCAAGTTACAAATAAAATAAAATAAAAAATAAGTCACAAAAGCCTCATAATGTTTTAAGTAAGTTTTTGGTATTGTATAGGGCTGTGCTCATAGCCATCCTTGGCTACACGTGGTCCGCAGGCCATGGGTTGGATATTCCTAGATCAAGTTTATAGCTGTAATAAATTCATTTTGATGAACATAAACTTCAAGCATAATGTTAATGAAATAACTAGTTATATTTTAAGAAATTTTCTTTCAAGTGAGTTGATCTGTGGTTGTAGACACATCTCAGTTCATTTAGATAACTAGCATTTTGAAAAAGATGTAAAAGACCCATGTGAATACTGAAAAGTTGACAGTATTAGCATCTCCTAACTGGTAGAGCAGATGATCATTCATTCTGTGACATATTTTACATAGTTAAACAATCCTCAATTCTCCACTCTGTTATATTTTACAAATTACTTTTTACTAATGAGAAAAACCAAGATTTAGTAAGTAACTTGCCCAGGACATAAAATATACATTCAAGCGGTAAGATTAAATGCATCTCTACATAGTTCAAAACCTATTTGGTTTCTACTATACAACACTGTCTCAAGGTACAGTCAGATGAAAGATCACACACAAATAAATATCTGTATTCTAAGATAGAACCCCAAATTAGTATCAAAAGCAAATAGGTCCTTTATTATGCAGGAAAGCAGGAATAAAATGGTGCTAGACAAAGCATATTCTGAACCAGGTTGAGTAATAGAACATGGTTTATTTTTATAATCATTTAATTGCAGTCATTCCATTGTGATTCAGATTGTAATTGAGGCACAGTGAGAGTTGAGAAATTTTGGGTGGTTCATTTCACTTACCTCTTTCTTTGTAAAATCACTGGTTGCTAGGAACCACTGCACTCTGAAGGATTCCCTTGTTTACACACCCCAATTCCTTTGACACCATGTCATTCCTGTGATGACAGTAGGGGGCTCTTGATGAGATTGTCATTGCACTTTTATTGTCAATGGAACTTAATAGAACAACTCTCTGACTTCTTCAAACATAGTCTCTCAACTTCAAACTACTTCCAAGTATGTCACTACGAAATCGAAATTTCTAGGGAAAGAAATAAACCGTATGGTGCTTTTCCCCTTCAGCTTATTCTACCATATGCTACTAGAAAATGGGAATGCTATAATGCTATTAATTTAGACTCCCTGTGTTCCCAGTGCTACCATTCCCCAGCTAATTTAAAGAATCTTTTCTATTGGGCTGGAAAAATATTGTCTTTGGGAAAAGAAAAAAGAATTGGATTAGAAGAGACCAATGAGACTGAAAGTTGTCTTGCTCCTGGGCCTAAGAACACCATACACAGAAGACCAGAGTTCTTGGAGTTCACATTACTGCTACATTGTGGTGGTTGGAATGAAATTGTCTGCCTCGGGCTTGGGTATTTGAACACTTGGTTCCCAGTCCCAGTTGGCACTGTTTGTGGAGCTTGAAGAGGTGCAGATTTGCTATAGGGAATATGAGAGTTCAGAGCATTACCCGACTTCTGGTCCACTCTGTCTGTTTCCTGCTTGAGGCTGAGGATATGAGCATTAAGCTTCCGGCTTCTGATCCAATGCCTGTTGATTGCTACTATGCTTCCCCGTAAAGCTGGACACTTGTCCTTCGGGAACCGTAAACTAAGCTAAACTTTTTCCAATATGTTGTCTTAATCCTGTGTTTTATTTCAGCAACAAAAAGTAACTAATACATGAATCTTGAAGCTTTTTTTGAGCTACAGAATTCACAGGTTGGCGTCAGTACATTACTTGTTGCTAATAGAAGGTGTATGTCCTGAGCATTACTTTTTATCTGATTGACCCTGAATACTTCATAAAGCAGTCCTTCAAGGAATACTGGCAGAGCATTTCAGTGCTACAAAAGGACAACCTTTGTGGTAAGCCCAAAAGAATTTTAAGGTTTTACAGAAGTATATGCAAAGTTAAGTTTTAGGCTTAGATATTTTAACAAAATTAGTACACTTATCATGTGTAGAAGCAGTGTCCATATATCACTCTAAAATTTTAAAAAAGCAAAAAAAAACTCCACAAACATTATGAATGGATTTGTTTTAAGTTAAAAAAAGAACAACTCAGGCTTCGAAAGATGACCCAGTAGATAATGGCACTTGGGGACTAATGATGTAAGCCTGATGACTTGAACTTGGTCCCTCGAATCCACATAAAGTTAGGAGAGACCTACTCTGTGAAATTGTCCGATGACTTCCCCATGTTTATCATGTGTCCAATGACTTCCCCATGTTCATCATGTGTCCAAAGACTTCCCCATGTTCATCATGGTATGTGCCCACCCACTTTCCCCATCACACATGAGTAATAAATAAAATAATAAAGATTTTAGAAAGCACAACTAAGAACTTTGGAAATTTCATGTTTCAGCTTCTAGTTGGATTTTTGTTTTTCCCATAATGCTGCTTATCTTTTTTATTTTAATGTGGATATGTCTATAAATCTTTTAGGAGTATTATTGTTCATTGAGTCTTGGGGAAGTTTTCTATATTTCAAATTCACAAAATCAATGTGTTCTTTTAGCATTGTTATTTTTATAAAAAGCACTTGATTTTTTTTTCCTGTGTAGAATAGATTTAGATGCCTGTGTGGGAAAAAAATCAATAACGGTCGTTCCATTTATTGAATAATTCACATTTTCCCGACTAATTTGTAATGACCAATATTTTCTGTGATGTTTCTGAGTGTATTGATGTATATAGTTCTGTATCCTTGGTCAATTTTTGGCACCCGGCTAAAAGCAACATGGGAAAGGAAAGACTTTTGGAGTTTACAGCCCATTATCAAGGAAACCACCTCAAGAACTCAAGGCAGGGACCTGGAGCAGGAACTGAAGAAGACACCTTGGAGGAATGCTTTTCCCTGGTTGGCTCCACAGTGGCTTGCTCAACCTGCTTTCTTATACAACGCAGCCCCACCTACCCAGGGATGGCACCGCGTTTGGTGGGCACATCAGTCATTGGTCAAGAAAATGCTAACAAACGTGGCCAAAGGTAAATCAGGAATTCTTCAAGCAAGGGTCCCTCTTCCCAGGTGGCTTTAGTTTGTGTCAAATTGACAAAAACTAACCAGTGCAAACAATAGTGCTTATTTTCTGTAGAAGCTAGGTTACTCCTAAAGTGATTTGGGCCTCAGCTTTTCTTTAGGTTCTAACCATAATCTCCATTCTGCTTCCTTACCCTTTTGTACTTCTCCATTTAATATTGAGTGACTTAAAGTTGTGCACTCATTCATTGAAGTTGTAAAGTCTACTTACCACAATTTCTGCACTATTATATGATGGCATTTTAGAATCTAATCATTATTTATATGGCTATTTTGCTTTCATTTTTATATTGCTTACAAACACTCAGTTTCCTGAGTAACTCTGAAGGTTCTAGCTTGCTTTCTTGATTCATTTTGATGTTTCTTAGCTTAGCTATCTAGTGTTTTCTCTTATTTTTCATTATTTTCTTTTTGCCATTTACATTACTGTTCTTTTCCTGTAGTTTTTAAAGTTGAACACGCTTTGTATCTAAAAGTTCTTTTTGTTTCAATGCATTCAATTAGGTCTATAGACTTACCTACAAATGTTCTCTATTTTTACCATTCACATTTTATATTTATATTTGATCCTCTGTGTTTTTCAGGTTTCATATCTGCAGATTCAATCAAGCATGAATAAAAATGATTCTGAACATCAGTAAAATATGCAATTTAATCTGTCGTGACATTTTTGTCCTTATTCTGCAAATAATAAAATATTTTAGTGATTTATACATCATTTATATTATTGGCTTTGTAACTAATTAAGATGATTTATGTATGCAAGATAGTGATGATGTCGGGTGTTGGTGTCACATGCCTTTTATCCACTACTCAGGAGGTAAGGGCAGGTGGATCTCTGTGAGTTTGAGGCCAGCCTGGTCTGCAGATTGAGTTCTAAGATAGTGATGTCATTATATATGCAAACACAGTCCCAGTTTGTATAAGAGATTTGCATGTCTGTGAATTTTGGGTTCTACTTTGTTTCTAAAACTGATCCCTACACAGTATCACTATAACACATGTTATTTTTAAATGTTTTGTGCTTTCTAGTATAATTCCTTCTTCGATTCAAAGGTAACTTGGAAATGTTTAGTTGCAACTGACACACATATACTTCATTGTATTTTTATTGGCAATTTACAGTTGATATCAAGAACATGTTCTACATAATTTCTTTGTAATATATTGAAATTGAATTTGTGTACAACATTGTACATGGTATTCTGATCATTATCTATTTTCAATTTGTACTGATCATATTTATCTGCATATCTGTTCAAGGCTGTTGCGCATTTACATGTTTACTAACTATGTTTCTTGTATGTTTCCTATTTTTTGTCCTGCTCTCTCTGTTTCTCATAAAAGTGCATTAAACTTTTGTACTGTTGTAGGGATCTGATGAGCTTCTGTGACTCTTTACGACTGTCCCTTTACCACTGATAATTCTCTATTGTTTCAACTAGAGTTTCATCAGAGAATCAGAATCAGTATGAAAAATGGTGAAGAGGGATTATTGTAGGGCCATGTGTATGTGGCTGTGACTCCACAAACAAGGAAGGTACGCTTATCTGTTTGACTTCATTTACAGTACTGTGTCTGAAGGAGGTGGTCCAACAGTCAGGAAGGAAAATGGGTGTTAAGTGGGGACAGCAAGGAGGAGCCGGAGGCTGAGAGGGCCACTGATTTTATGCCTTTATCTCCTTGGTTCAATGCTGTAAAATGTGCTTATATTCTTTTAAATACTATTGCTCAATGTATTTTAGGTAAAGTTCAAGACAGGGTTTCTCTGTGAAGCCCTGGCTGTCCTGGAACTCACTCTGTAGACCAAGCTGGGCTTGAAATCACAGAGTTCTCCCTACCTCTGCCTCCCAAGTGCTGGGATTAAAAATGAGCACCACCCTGCCAGGCTATTTTTAATCTTTAGTTGTTTTCTTTGATAACTTCTGAAATGTACGTAAGGCATGATGGCCTGTCTCTCCCTCTGCTCCCTCTAGTCCTCCAACCACCTCTGTTTATACAATATTCACCTGAAAATCTATTTCTTACTTTCATATTTATAATTCTTATGGGCTTTGGGTTAGGAGGCGCTGTTGGCAATTGATGGCTGCTGAAGGAGGGACAGTCATTTTTCTTTGGGGAAGTGACCCTTAGTAGGTTGCTTGTGTCCCAGTGGGTGAGCCTATACCCATATGCATATTGCCAACACTCACTAATTAGACTCAGGGGTTTATTATTAGTAATAATAGTTGTAAACGAAGACATGAAGTCTAGGAGATATGCCACATCCCACATAGCACCAGGGACAGACCTAAGTGGGTGATAAGGGAATGAAAAAACTAAGTCAGACACATGTACACTCAGAGCAGCTGGAATTGGGTGGAGTGGGTTGTTACACACAGCTGAATAAGGAGGCAGGTTTAGTTCATCTTAGTAGGATCCATCTCTGTAGGGGAGCAGTCTTCAGGCCATAAGTATCTGGAGTGGCAGGTGTGGAGGGAAGCTATGGTGGACATTATCTTCACATAACTATCAGTGTCCACATGTGGACCAGAGGAAGATTTGGCCATTGCTCTGACCTTACCCTACCTCCCCTCCCCACCCTACCGGGGTGGGTTAGGGTGGGGGATGTAGGGGGTGTGGGGTGTGGGCAGGAATGCTTTGTCTTTTTCCCACAGATCTGACAGGGTTCTCGACATGGCTGGCTCACGTCACACATTCACATAGGGCTTCACACACTCAGGGCTTCCCTGGGCCTCACAGAGATGGATTTGGAAGAAGGTATTTTGGAGTGGTGGATATGATACAAATTTCTGTAAAAATTCCCTTCTTTCCTTCTACTCTCTCTCCACACCCCCACTCCTCTCTCTCCTATTTTCTTTTGTACTTTGCTTGCCCATTAATGTCTGGGTTTTTCTTTTTAAATTTCTTTTTGGTTTCCTTTTCACATCTCCAATTCCTTTCGCATTTGGTCTTATCTCACTTCGTGACATCGTGCGTCATTACATCAGGAGTCTGCATTCTATGGCCAGTGGTCCATATCTGCCTCTCCTTCTGCTAGCTTCTGTAGAAAGGTTTCTTGGCATGCAGCCATGCCCATTCAGTGGCATGCTGTCTATAGCTGTTTTCTTGCAACCACAGCATAATGTAGTAGTTATGCAAGAGGCTGCATAGCCAGGCAAGCTAAAAAATAGTTATTACTTGGCACTTCACAGAAAAAAATTATACTTACTTTAGACAAGTTGTAGTCTTTCACTTTTGGTTTTTGACAATTTAAAATATACTTAAATTTCTTTGTATAGCATAATTTATTCTGGAAGGCTGCCTGTTTATGAATTGCATTTTCTCGCGCACCTTATAACCTGGGGCTGCAGGCTCATTTTAAGGGGAATTGTTTTGATTTTAGAGGTAGTGCTGTTCCTTTTCTCTCTCTACCACGGTGTTTCCCTGTTGCTGCGTCATTTTGTGGTTACCACCTTCAAGCCCCAGTGCTATGGTACAGAGGTTGGTGTTACAGTGGCCTTTTGTGGTTTTGATCAATGAGCTTTCTTGATCCTGGGACACTTGTGGGCTACTCTGTCTAGTTGTAAGACTTCCTTTCTGCCTCCCCAGATTCTCATCATGCCATGGGTCTTGGTCACTGGTAATGGTCAGCAATATGTCCCTAGTCTCTTTACTAGAGAAGACAGGTCCATTGCGGCTACTAGTTCTCGTTCGTAAGTTCAGAGGAAGTGTGTACCTATTCCATGATGTCTACTTCTGAACTAAAATTTGGCGGGACATGTGGCTTACACCTGCCCATCCTTTTCACCTTGGTTGTTTCTGAACTACACACTTGCTTTAAAATCTGAGTCTGAGTTTTTAGCTTTCTTTTAAAAGTGAAGTACAAATACTGCTCTTGTGATTTGAGTGAGAATGACCCCCATAGGCTCATGTATTTGAACTTATAATGGACCCCAGGTGGTAAACTACTTGGAAAGGATTAGGAGGTGTGCCCTTGTTGAAGGGTGTGTCACTAGGGATGGGCTTAGAGGTTTCAAAAGATTTATACTATTTCCTGTGTTCTCTCTCCCTTTCTTTCTCCCATTTTCTCTGTCTCTATTCTGTCTCTGTGTCTCCGTCTCTGACTCTCTGTCTTTGTCTCTCTTTCTCTGTCTGTCTGTCCATCCATCCGTCTGTCCATTCCTCTCTCTCTCTCTCTCTCTCTCTCTCTCTCTCTCTCTCTCTCCCCCATGTCTGCAGATCAAGGTGTAAGTTCTCAGCTCTCAGCTGTTCCTTCTCTTTGCCATCATGAGCCCTAACTCTGAAATCAAAAGACAAACTCAATACTTTCATTATAACTGCCTAGGTCATGGGGTTTTATAACAGCAAGAGAAGAGTAACTAAGACAATTGTATTTGGAGCAGAGGGCCACATCACGACATGAACTTATAGCACTCCCTTGACTAAACATTATCGCCCTCCTCTTTTGACCCCTGTGTATGTGTTTGTTCTGTGTTGTGTGATGATATATTACTATATATTTACCTTGTAGTTGAAATCATGTGTCTACACAAACTTACTCAAGTGACTGTGAAGGGGCCATTTTAATACCAACTTGAATTCAAAGTGACTTTTCTCATAAATGCATCATTTTTTGAAATTTATAGTATTTAAATAGAATGACTCCTGTAATTATAGGATTTTAATTGAATTATTTAAGTAAATCAAATTTCTAATTCAACATAAAAGCATTTTCATAATAAATTATATAGACTGATGTAAGTACAGAGTCTTAGTTCTACATTAATGTATGGCAAAAAAAATAAAGCCATTTTTCCAAAGTAAAGAGGCAAAGGGAATTATAAGGAGAATGTACATGTTCATTTTTTATTTATGCAAGTAACAATATTCATTAATAGGTTTTTTATTGAGCTGGAGAAATTGCTTGGTGGTTAAGACCACATAATGCTGTTGTAGAGGACCCAAGTTCAGTTCCCAGTTTTCACAATACACAGCTCACTATAACCATTAACTCCAGTCCCAGGACATCTGACAACCTCTTCTGTCTTCCTCATGTACAGGCACCTGTACTCATAAGCATATATCCATACACAGATGCACATGTATACATAGTCAAATATAAAACACATCTTTTAAAATAATTTTTCATATAAGTCAAAAAACTCCTTTCATTCCTCTTCAGGTTAATGTTTAGCTGTTAGGCTTTTGTTTAATGTTTAAGGAAACAAAATAAGTAATCATTTACTGGTAGGCCTTTTATAAATCTTTGCTGTTATTTATTTCTGGGTGAATCCTGCTGAAGATTCACAGAGTGAAGGAGTCTTAACCATGAACTGATGCCTGGCTAGACATACCCACACTGGAGTGCTAATGTAATAACAAGTGACTTGTGTCGCTCCAGTAAGACCTACTTGTGGTATTGTTATTAGTGTTATCCTGATGAATGAAAAGCTGCATGCTACATTAGCATCTTATACTTATTCTCCTTGCAAGTTTTTTTAAAGGTGTTTTTCTTTTTAAGCATAGGCCCATGGTTTTCTATAACTCTAATTTGTACATGTCAGAAGAAAGCAGAAACTTATGTTATATTCATGAAATGTATTTCCATGTGATCAACTTGTGTGTTTTTAAAACTGAGAACAAGCTGTATTTTGGTAATGGAATTCTAATTTTATTTTCCATTAAAGTAAAATAAAGCACTATTTAAATGTTTTCTTGGTGATTTGTTTCTAG